CTGACGTTGGCAATCGCGTCCAGACCCGGGCCCAGAACTGGAACTGGAAGTGGAACTGGAACTCCACCCCCCCTGGAACTGGAACTCGAACTGGAACTGGAACCCCCCCCGGCAAAAAAAATCGACGCCGAAATGACGAGTTGGAACTGGAAGTGGAATTGGAACTGGAACTGGAACTCGAACTGGAACTGGACCCCCCCCCCGGGCAAAAAAATCGACGTCAAAATGACGAGTTGGAATTGGAACTGGAACTCGAACTGGAACTGGAACCACCCCCCCTGGCAAAAAAATCGACACCAAAATGACGAGTTAGAATTGGAAGTGGAACTGGAACTGGAACACCCGCCCCCCCTCGAAAAAAGACAACAACACACCGGCATTTAACATCATTTAACTGACAGTGGCAATCACTTCCAGACTCGGACTCAGAACTGGAAGTGCAACTGGAATTGGAACTCGAAGTGGAACTGGAAGTGGAACTCCCCCTCCCCGAAAAGAGACATAGACTTTAAACTTTAAACTGACATTGCAATCGCCTCCAGACTCGGACCCAGAACTGGAAGTGGAACTGGAACTCCATCACCCCCCCGAAAAAGAAATTCGACATTCTCCTGAGATTGGCAATTGGAACCAGAACTGGAAGTAGAACTGGAATTGGAACTAGAAGTGGAACAGGAACTAGAACCGGAAGCGCAACTGGAACTTGAATTGGAACTAGAACGAGAACTACAACTGGACCACCCCATCCCGGAAAAATACCCGACACTGGTACGAAATTGGGAATTGGATCCAGACTTCGACCCTGGAAGTAGAACCGGAACCGCCCCCTCAAGAACAAACTGCAGAGAGCATGTGGACCACGGACGACATGCGTCGGCGTACAGATGTGCAGGTCTGCAGGACAGAGTTTGGGAAAGAGAGAGAGAGACACAAAAATCTGACGTGGGTGGATCAGAAGCAGTGTGCCCAAGATGACCAGGCCAACGAATCAAACCACACCAACCAGAACAGTCACTTGGTTTGCATGATTTGAACCGCGATCTATTTTTGTGAGAGAGTGCAATTTGAACTCAGCACGGTTCAAACGATTCTTAACATGGGGAATCAAACCCTGTGACTCTTACTATGAATAGCTCCTGCTTGCTTGGGAGAAACGCAATTTGAAGCGGCCGGCCATGCCATGCTTGGAGCCGTGGTGCTGTTGTTGCCGGGGAGCCGCTGCCCTCATGCGGCGACATTGGAGGTCAATCTTTTTGCTTGGGGTGGGCGACGGGCTTTGGATGCACCCTGGCTGCTGGTGGTGTGTTCGGGGACAACCTTGGGCTCCAGGGTATTGTTGCATTGTCTTGTCGGTATACGCGCAGGACGGCGACTGGTGGGTGTACCTCATCTCAGAGGGTGTCGCTGTACCCAAGTAGATGTGACAGACCGATCCTGCCAGGGAAGCTCTTTGTTTCATTCGTGATTCATGTGGTGTTTGTCTTCATTTTTGGAACCCCCCCCGGGTCCTGGAAGCGACGGTGCCGGGGCCTGCAAAAGCCTTGCTCTCTGCGGCGGGCAGGCCACGGTGTCCTAATGTACTTGGAGGTGGACCCACCCACGGTCAGCCGCTAGGGCTGCAGTACTCGCGAAGCGCAAGGCATCTACCCGTGCCGCGCTCGCGTCCGGAGTGGGTAGTGTTCCGATCGTGTCTACATACACTATCACCGGAGAGATGCTAGTGTCAGTGGAGTCGACTATATATGACGTGAGTTGTTTTCAAAATCGTCGTCATTTGCCTGGGCGTTGCGTCCAAGAGGTGATTTTGGGTGTTCCTCAGAAAACGCTACGGGGCGTCCAAAAAAAAACCTTTCTATTGTTACATGCAGTCGTGCCTTCAGTTTGTTATGTCGTCCTGCTACAGCAACTCTTCTGAGCCTTTGGGGGCGGAAGGGCGTGACTTCACGAACTGGTTTGTTCTTGCAAGTGTCACAGGCAATTAGGGATTGTGATTGCTTCTGTTTGCCGGCTGTGTCCGGGCTCTTGCCTCATGGGCTGGCCCCAGCCCAGGTGCACGCCTTTGTCCGGCTGTCTGGGTTTGGACCGGCGTTGTGTTGTTGCAAGCAGGTTGACGCTTTCATCGCAAGCTCCTTGGACAGTGCCCCTGCCAAGGTGCAGGCAGGCTTGTGTCTCCCAGTGAAAGAGATCAGATCAGCAGACGAGCGGCTTGTGCTTGCTGGCGCACCCCTCCGTGCTGTTCTTCCTCACTAGACTGCAGAGCTCGTCACACATCCAGCGTTTGCAGGGGGTGCTCGCAGATCATGAACGATGACGAACAGGGATTCCTGTGTTTGTTGTGCGTCGGTGTTTGTGTTTTGTTTGTGATGATCCGTGACGTTCATTGTGGGTGGCAAGCCTCCACCATGCGACGCATGTGAAGCATGACAAAGCCAGAGCCAGACATACGTGCTCATTCTACGAAACATGGTAAAACGATGGGGCGTCCTGACTTTGAATGAATACAGCTTAAGCAAGTATCGAAAACAATGCATATGTGTAGTTTTATATATATCTATATATAGATTTACGTCGATGCATTTATACATCCCAGCACGGGCGGAGCGGAGTCCAGCCTGCTGCGCCGCACCGTTGACGGTAAACATGCAACGTGTGGCATGTCCCTCTTATAAAGTGGGCTGAACATTTGGAACATAGTCTGGCAATGTCAGTGCCGCTGAACCAGCTGGGGGGCATGCGTTCACCATCGCAGCGCCGAATCAGTGGCTGCGACGTCGTAGAAGGAACCGGATCGGATGGTATAGCACTTTATGTTCATATGATTCTGTCAGGGTCTTCGTTCCAGTGGGGGGGTGTTGGGGCGAGGCATTGATCACCTCCTGGTTTTGAGTGCCTGGCAGCCAGGTGACTGCTTCCGCCTGGTCCGTGAAATCTCCATGTGTACTTAATGGCTTCGTCGTTGCTTCGTCATGTCCGCTTCACGTCCCTGTCCCGCTCGCGGACTTCCGGTTGTATGTGCCTCAGAGACGTGGCTCAGCAGCCTACTCTGTCTCGCAATAGGCGAGGCGTCGTATAGTCACGACTCACTGTGTCAATGGCCTCACAGAGACAATGTTTTACTTGTCGCCGCACTTGCGGCCCCAATTCCAAAATGCTATCGGCCGATGATGTCCGCGCAGTGGTCAGTGTGCAGTTTGCCTCGCAGACAAAACACGGCAAACAATATGCTTGCAAACTGTGATCCGTGAGGGGTTGCTCGCGGCGTGCCATCGATGGGGTGCCATCGATGGGGTGCATCTCTGCCGTAAGGATCCAAAGGTGTCCTTTGCACATCGTTTTCATGCTTGACAGCGTTATGCTGCCGTTTGTTGCGAATGCTTCCGTATATCCGTAGAAGTGAAAGGATGTGTGATGAGTACTATCATGACACAGCCATCTACACCGTAAGCGTTGTCAACGCGGATGTGTTGCTGACGCGTGTGTTCTGGTCATGGCATGCTCTCCATCCATCCAAAACCTCCTCCAGAAGCTTCCCCGATCGAGAGTGTTATTATATGTTATTATATATACAGTCTGAAGGCAGGTTTGAAAAACACAGTGAGGAATGCGTTGAGTTGTCGGGGTCATCGTCTCTGTAGCTCGGAAGTTTCTTCATCTTTATCACGTTTTCGCAAACCCTCTTTCCGAAATATATATATACTTATATATATATATATAACCGCAAACCGTGCGTTTTTCGATGGCCATTGGTGGGTTGAGTTTTTGGAAAAAACAGACCGAGTCGCGCAAACAAGTGCGAGTCGCACAAACAAGTGCGCTCACGAAGCGCTGCTTCAATCTTTGCTCGTCCGTCCAGCGGCGCTCTTGGCCCGGTGTGCACAACAGCTGGTGCCCAGCCTGTATCCAACGCACTCTTTGTTTTTGGCCATCATGTGATTTTCATGGCGCAAATCCCAGGGAAACCCATCATAGTTTTATGATCTCATGTTTGGCCTGCGGGCAATGCAGCTTTAGGATGCTAAAGGTCAACACCCTACCCCCAAAAATGATCCAGGGGACTTAGATTCAGGTGACGTAGATTTCATTTGTGGGCCAGAACGTTGCCGGGGGTCCTTCATGTCTTCATGAAGTTGCTGCTCTTCGCGGTTGGAGTGTTCGTGCTTTCGAACGCAGCCCGGGCACCGAGAGAAGTGAGATGAAGTGAGACTGGAGCCCAACTCCCACACCTACAGTATATCCTAAAGTATGTTTCAGATCTCCAACTTGCAAACCAAGACTGCGTTCTTATGAGTGGGCGTTGGAAACCATCCACTCGAGGCCCCGCGGAGCTTCACCAACCTGTGGTCCCGCGACAGGCAGGGCAAGGAAATCGCGCCGCCGAGCGCGCTCTTCGAAAACATGTTGTCTCACATGGGGCTCCCAAGTAGGTTGGAGGCCATCGCAAGTATAGGTTGGGGGCCATCGCAAGTAGGTTGGAGTCCATCAAGTAGATTGGAGGCCGTCACTTCTAGGGGAGGGTTATTTGCATGCGTGGCACGTTCACAGCAATTTGAAGGATCTGTGAGGTGTTGGCAGTATTCCCAGTTTTTGTCGCAAGCCATGGCGCTTGCAGCTTTTGACCGCGAGATGGGCAGGATGGCTCACACATGGAAGTCTGTCCGACGCTTTTCGAAAAGAGCCATCTCCCGACATGAACCCACACTAGAAACTAATTGAAAGAGTGAGATCAAAAGAAGTAGGCAAACGATTCCAATTTGATCGTTGGGTATCCATCTTCCCCTTTGTCTGTGGTATGTAGACCTTCCCTTGAAAACTTAAGGACCTGGCAAGGTGCCATGGAATGAAGCTTTTGTAGCACCTTGTTTTTGATGAGTTGGCAACAGTTTCCTTTCAAGGTGCGCTACTCCACTTTTTGGTGTGAAAAAACGCCGCCTTACCTGGCCCGATACCCTCACTCTAAGCTTGCCTCCGAGGCAGATGTCGCTCGCCGAATGCTACGATCCATGCCTGCCCGAGCAGTCGAGATCATCAGGGAGGGTGACTTTGGGGGGGCTGACCTTGTCCAGGTTACAAGCGATGCCTACCGCCCATCGTTCAAGGAAAGTGGGGGAAGTAATTTTGTCTTCTTGCAAGCCCGAAATACACGCCTAAGTTCGTAAGCTAAAACTTTAAACCAAAGAAACAGCACCATCCTTCTCGGACCAACCCATCCAGGAAATTGCAGCCAACTATGTGTTCCTGAAGCCACTATGTGAAAAATTTCCAGACCATGTTCCTGGTGGAGTTCTTTTGACTGATGTTTGGCTCTACCTAGATTCCTTGCTGGCGGGCAAGATGTTGGTCAAGGAAGGTGAAAGTAAGCAAGCGCAGGCCGCCACAGAAGCGCAACGCTGCAAACGGCTAATGGGTGCATTGCGCTATCTTTTTCGGAACAGAAACTTGGATTTGCTTGAGAAAAGGTTCAACAATAGTTGGTTCACCAATGTAGCCACTAGCCGCTATAGCTTTGTTAAGTTTCCATGTGGTTCTTTCTGTGGTTGTTTGCGCGCGGTTGGATGTGATGTGAGGTGCTGAGAGTCACAATGAGAAGGTCTCTGAACTGAAATCGATGCTGCTGCCTTCGCCTGTATCCTTTGCTCTCTGGCTTCTGTTGATGGACAAAAAAGTTTAGTTTGACGAGCGGATAATTTTTCAATAAGACAACCCCTAAAGGTTTGTTCAATAAGATCCAAAAAGTTGGTGTCCAAACGTTAGTTTGGCTGGAGTCGGAATCAATGTATAGGCTCGTCGGCGTGCAAACGCGGGGCTGCGAAGACCTGGGCATGTCAGAGAGGAGGATATTCGAGAGGTTCTTGGTTTTCAAAAATACAAACAAACAGAAAACTTTAGACTCCTTGCAATGGGGTGCGTCAGCATGGGTGTCTTGCATTCCCTTCAGGCCCTTCGTGATGAGCCCGCTGAGGAACCTCTTCCAGCAGAGGATGAAGGCGAAGAACCTGCAGAGCCTGCAGAGCCTGCAGCGGCTGCAGGCGAAGAGGAGAGTTCAGATGCAGACTCTGATTCTGGCGAAGATGCGCCAGGTGGCGGCTGTGAGTCGCCTACTTTGATCCTTGGCGCTGGCGCTGATGTTGCCAATGAGGCAGATCTTGAGTCATCAGACAAGTCAGAGGAAGCCTCGCTAGAGGAATGTCGGGAGTCTGAGTCTGAGGCTGATGTTGAAAAGGCAGAAGAAGTCAAGCCTCTTCCATCGTCCAGCAGCAAGGGTGATCGACGACGCCTTCCTTCTTGCGAGCGCTATGGCATGGGAAAAACTGCACTGGCTTGAATTGCGTGGCTTGCTTTCGGCGCGGTCAAACAACTCCTAAGCCCAGTCTGAAGCGACCGGCTACCGATGAAGTTGAGAGTGCGGAGAAGAAACCCAAGCCGCAAGAGCTTGTATCTTGGCAGTTTAAAGCATCAGTGTATACACCCACAACAAAGGTCAAAAGGACATAAAGCCAACCGCTCCCTTGACTGTCATATTTTAGAAGGCGCTTGCCCATATGTCTTTCGGACCTTTCTTTGTATCTGTTTACTCAATAGTTTTTAGAGTGACAGTGACAGAGGGTTACATACACCAAAAGGAAAATATGGTGAACTGAGGGTGGTGGTGAACATGCAGAATTTATGCATTACATGGGCCTGGCCGGGATTGAGGAGGACCAAAAACCGACTTGCCTTTCACAGCTAGCCCTAGAGTCGATCAAGTTGCCTCTCATGGACAAGCCAAGTTGGATGGTTGAATGTGAGCAAAAGCTTTTGGGCGCAGACCCCCCAACTGTTGGCTCACAAGTGACTAGGCCCAATTCAAGCGTGGTCTTGTCATTAAGTATATGGGACCGTCTATCCTGTCGTTTTTACACCCTTTCAACCCCTCTTGGGATAACTTCTATAAAAGGGTCAGAGTTTTTATTGAAAAAAGTGGTGACCCTTTAATAGAAGGTTAGTATGGACATGTCTGAGTGTGTCATTTGTCTGGGCAAATGCCTCGAAATCCAACCCGAAGTCGAAGTCCAAGTCTTCAGCCAGCAAGTCCAACAAGCGACCAAAGGCGTCTTTTCGGAGGAAGAACAAGCATTCGAAGAAGAGTGCTCCTATGGAGGACAAATCCGATGAACCCGACGATGCTTCGACTTCGGAGGAATCCCCCGATGAGGCCATGAGTGAGCATACCGCTGACGTTGGCCCTGTCTTTCGCGGCAAAGTCGGTTGGCGCGAAATAACAATACTTTAAACATCATGTTTGTTTATGTGAAAAGGTTGACCTTTCCGATTGTATCGGGCCCATGAAACCCCTCCTCGCATGAGCGCTCCCTTTCGATCAGGCCTTGGAGTACAATGGCTACCGCGTCGATCACCTGCCGAAGAATGCTCGGCCAGACCCCGAGCGCAAGCATCAGGGCAAACACTCCTACACTGTTGTGAAGGGAGACGTGAAGATCGAAGTTCTCCTCCGCAGCAGTGCATACTATGTTCGTGGCCCCAACAAGGGTCAAGTCTCATGGGCCAAGAACGGTGGCCCCTACAATGCACGGATTGTCGCATGCACAAAGGCTGGCGTGCTCCCATAGAGTTTGGCCTGTGGCTCATGAGTTAGTGGCTCTAGGGTGGTACGTCCCTGGCAGATCCAAATTTTGGTGTTTGCAATTTGCAAGTGAAACAAATGTACTTTGTCCTGTAGCTCTTGTATTTCAACACTGTAGCTTGACAGGGGCAGCATTGAAGCCAATGCGTTTGAACCATTTGGAGCGGGTTTGTAGATGCAAAGCATCTTCTTTGGGTGGCCCATGTAGGGGTCTCGTAGAAGCAAGGCCAATATGAGTGGCTTGGAGTGGGCATGAAAACACACAGCTCCATATGTTTTCTGTCTCATGTCACGTCCTGCAGTTTCCATTTACTTCCAAAGTCTTGCAAACAAATCGGTCTCATGTTTTGCAGTTCAATCTAGTCCCAATGTCTTGCAAACAAATAGAAGCTGGTGAGGTTTTAGTGTTCGATGGTGTTTGATCAGATGATCATGCAGAGTCTCAAGGTCCAAGCGTTTGGGAACTCAGCGTTACTTTGAGTCTAGGGCTTGCCAACCATGGGCAAACGCTGTGTGTCCAGTGTGGACCGTGTTGTGAAGACTTCCAAAGCGCAGACGCCCGACTTGCCTGAACAACAGTCGTACAGGGAGATCAAGCGAAGATCAATCGTAGCAGGCCTCAGGATGATGCGTGCGCCGGCCGCCGCTCTGATGGATCTGGCAGCTGTTACCAATTTTGTGTTCCACTATGTTCCACTGAATGAACCCTCTTAGCACGTTCACATCCCATGGGCTCATCCCAGATGTTCTCAACTGCAAAAACTTTTACTGAAGTAAAGTAGCAAAAGGATTGCCGAGACGCCACTCTGAGGTAGTGGCAGTGCTGGTCAATATGATCTTTGGCCTTCCTTGTTTGGAGTTCAGCCGGGCCAATGAACTGCAACATGTGGAGCTCTTTGCAGGGGAATGCGCGGTGACCCGATCAGAGCTGCAGGACTTGCTTCTGGTGAGTTTGGGAAGTGCGGATTGTCATTCCCAAAAAGGGTTCAACAAGAAAAAGGGTTTTAGGGAAAGTTGGAAAGCTCACCAAAAATCACCCTTACGGGTTCGCTAGATTGGCCAACCCATTTCTCCAGGAGGGCAGAGGAGCTGTAGCGATGGACCTGTCGTATGGTGGTGAGGGCATGGACTTAAGCACTCCAGCGGGCTTCATTGCAGCCGTCTACCAAACCTGCCGACTATCTCCTGGGTCGGGTTGGCTCGCAGCTCCGGTCTGTTCCTCATTTGTATGGGTGCCCCTTGACAACAAGTCAACAGGGTTTGTTCATGATGCCCCAAAAGTTTGTTTCCACGTGTCCACAAAACACTTTGGGCACGCAGTGCCATTCCATGTCCCGATTGCAATGCGCACCCAAGGAGTAGGGGAACAACAAAGAGAAGTCCAACCAGGCCACTCGGAGAGGAGAGCTACCCTAGCGTGCAAATGGGTAATTTGCTGCTATGCCGGACCCTGGTGATTTTGATGATCGCCCAAGCGCTCAAGTGCATGTGGGTACTGGAACAGCCAAAAGGGAGCCTATTGGAGCTGCGCCCGCTTTTCCAAGAAACTTTGGGGCGGCTCACCATTTGGAAGCACACCATCCAGATGGGAGACTTTGGCGCCAATTCTGATAAGCCAACATGGCTCTATTCCAGTTCCTAGCATTGGCAACACTTGATATTTTTTGTTGTTGTATATTGTGGGTGGGGTATACATGAACATGTTCTGGTTGGGTTCCCCTGCGCGACCAGGTCATGAAGCCATCGAGGAAGTGGACAACTTTCGGCCTCGCTGGCTTCCGCCGCGTGAAACTGTGGAGATGGCCGTCGTCTACGCAGACAAAAAGGGGCTCAAGAGAGTGAAAGGTGGCCGCCATTTGAAGCAGTCGCAAGCATACCCCATAGGGTGCCTCAAACTGACTTTGTAGTCTTTGTAGCATGATTTCCAAATCTTTCCTCCAATCTTATGTTGGGGCAATCTCTTAGTAATACTATGACTATATATATTTACTATATACGGTGACCGAAAGTATTCGACACCACCAGAGGAACCCTCCCTGCACAGGTGGTTGTTTGGGCACCGGGCTGCCCCAAGCGTTGACATAGGCATGCCACATCCTGCTTCGACCGAGGTTTGGAAAGGCCATGTCGGCTGTCAGAACGCGTTTAGAGAGCCGACTGCGATCTGAAGCTCGGGCTGCTCTGAAAGAAAACCTGTTGAAGTACAGAAATGTACCCCGAAACGTCCGGGCTGATGGGAGGTGGCTGAAACATGCCAAACTCGCCGACATTTTTGATTTCTTAGCCTGAGCCTTGTGTGAATACATAAGACCTGATGGCATGAATTCACTTGGCCTGTTGGGTGATTGGTTCCAACATGCCACGTGTCCTTCCTTAGACCAGTGCCATACGCGTGCGCGTGGTAGGCTTTGCAAACGCAAAAGCAAAATCTTTCAGAAGCGCTTGTCGAAACCAGTGGTTGTAAACTGTTGTAAAGAGTGAAGAAAAGAAACGTAGCTGTCAAGCCTTCAACTTTGCAGCGATCGCCTTCCCAAATCTCCTCCCAAGCCCTTATTAAGTTGGGGTTGTGTGTGGCCGGCCTTCGATTGGAAAGGCCACTGATGGGCAAGTTCATCCTCAAAAATGCCTTGAAAGGCGCGCCCCTGCCGTGCGCATGCAGTCTCATGCAGTTCTGAACTAGTCTACATGTTTTTTTACTTTTTTGCATTTCATTCAGCCGCGTCTGGGAGAGAACTCAGCCACGACCCGTGCAGAACAGCCGCGAACGGTAGATCATGGTTTTTCATCGAATGGACTTCAATATCAATATCAATATGGACTTATATATAGTTATATACTTCCATTTATGCTAACCATTCAGCCATGCATGGTTGGTTCAGCCACGAATGGTTGGTTCAGCCACGAACTGCTAGCCCCCTCCCCCATCGATCAACGCAGAAGCTGTCCTGAGTCGCTCTCGTGCAATGCAGCTGACCTCAGCCACTTTTTGCTCGGCTGGACTCGATCGAGGTTCCTGTCGGTAGTTTGCGTACTATCATGGGGAAAACAAAGGCAGAGGCTACCAAGGCTTCTAGGTCCACTCGAAAGGATTCGGTCAAGAAGAAAGAGAAGGGTGGAAAGACAACCAAGAAGGTGGAACATGTGAAAAACAAGAAGACTGTTGCCAAGAAGATTGAGGAGAAGAAGGAAGAGAGCAAGAAACCAGAACAGAAGAAGGACAAAAAGAAACCAGACAAGAAGAATGAAGAGCGCAAGAAGGAAGAGCGCAAGAAGGAAGAGAGCAAGAAGGAAGAGAGCAAGAAGGAAGAGAAGAAGGACATCAAAAAGAAGGAAGACATGAACACCGTCGACACGAAGAAGGATGGGAAGAAGAACAAGGAGGACAAGAAGAAGGATGGCAAGACTGACAAGAATGATGATGAGCCTAAGGGCAAGAAGAGTCAGGAGAAGAAGAATCAAAAGGAAAAGAAGCGGTCGTGTTCAATGGAACCTGAAGACAAATCTACTCAGCCGAAGCGGAGGTCTGTGTTGAAGACTCCAAATTCTTCAGCTGGGCCGACTCCGCCCGAGAAGAGAGTGCACTTCAAGTCAAACCCTACGATCGCCCAAGCAACACCGCCTATCACTCCTCGTTGCACACCAGAACCATCGCCTGCAGGCTCTGCGGCCCGCAGCCTGGAAAGCTGGCGGCAGGAAGCAGCTGAGAGGGGCGTGAGCCTTGAGGAGCTGATGGAGGACATGAGCGCTCAGGTTCTGGAATCTTCCCTCGAAAGTCACACGCATCAGCTGGTGGCTGAGGCTCCTGCAAGCGATGAAGAAGAAGACGAGGAAGAACAAGATGAAGCGAATGATCAGGAGGATAGTGGTAGTGAAGGAGAGAGCAGCAAAGATGACTCTGACTCGTCTTCAACCTGTGATGATGAGGAAGCGAATGGAGAAAAGGATGAGGAGGAGGATGATGAGAAGTGCACAACAACAGAAGATGAAGGAACAGAATTTGGAGATGACGAAGAAGAGGAGGAAGAAGAAGATGAAGACAACGAACGAGTCGAAAAGGATTTGACCAAACTCTTTGACCGGGAGGCGGATGGTGGCAAGAAGCAGGAGAGAAACCAGGCAAAGATTTCTAGCAGTGTTGCTGAGGCCAACCAGAAGACTCAGGAACAGTTTGCCACTGCAAACAGCAAGACTCACAAGGCTGAATATGACAAGTTCTGTCGTCAGTGCTTGGACCGAAAAAGATTCCCAACCAAGTTGGCAAGCCACGTCATCAAGGACAAGCTCGACGTTTTCCGGCAGTGGCTGATGTGCTCAGAGGTATGGGAGAATGTGGTGGTGGAATTTGAGCGGCGGGCAGAGAGGAGGTCCACATCTTGCAAACAGAGATCAGGGATGAAGGCGAGGGATATTTACAAGAAGTACCCAAAGGAGAAGGCTGAAGCCCTCATTAAGAGATTGAGGGACAAAGGAATGTGGTACTATGACGAAGACTTTGAAGGGGACGAGGAGGAGATCTACTACTATTGCAATGAGGGGAACATCATCAAGGATGAGAACATCGTCAGTGACACCACTACTGTTCGGGGAACCGAAAAAGGCAACAAGGAGGTGGTTGAAGCCTTGACCGGTGCTGATGGGTTGTTAGCTGCGGGTGCATGCGCAGCTCCAACCACTGCCAATGAAGCGGGTCAAAAAGCTTTGGTGGAATCTATCGTTGAAGCGCCAACTACACAAGCGAAGCCAAAGAAGCCAAAGAAGAAAGACGAGGCAGAAAAGTTGGAGCCAAAAAGCATTACTGAAAAAGCCAAAGACTACATGGAATCATGTCTCAAAAAGTCAGCTGACGCTCGAAAGTATGCAATTGCCCTCGGCGCCACTGACTACAGCGGCGCTCTTTCCACACAACTCATGACCTTCAGCCAAAAGATGGAGCAAGTGTACAAGATTTTGCAAGACTTGACTTCCCGAAAGGTTGAAGAAGAAAAGGAGTATGAAAAGCACTTCAACATCATCGATGACAAGATTGTGTGGTATGAGAAAGCGGAGGCAGGGTATCTCCATTGACAAAAAACAGCGCATACCCAACAAGAACATAGTTTGCTTAAGCTCAGATTACTGCTTCCATCGACCCCCAACACAAGATCTTCGAACCACTCTTCGAACCATGTCGAACCCATGCCACTGTCTCTCACACGTCGTTGAGGCGGCGGCAAAGGGCTTGTTGAAGCCACAGCAGCCCAAAAAGAAGGGCAAGAAGAAGGATAAGTCTGCCGAGCCGAGTGAGAGGGAAGTTGAAACTGAGACGCCGTAAACATGGCGCAGTCATCTTTGCGCACACCGGTGTTTGTTTCATCGTGTGTCATCCATCGTTCTTTCCAGGTCAACTTGCACACATCGAGTGAATGGTAGGGAACAAACTATGCTTTCAGGTGTGCAATGGTAGTGTTTACAAGGCAGTGATAGCTTGTCGCAAGGGGATGCGCAGTCATCGACCCAATGATATTTTGTGGGATTGCGCTCGGGGTTCTGTGACATGAGCATTGCCTGGAGTCTGTTGAAAAAGGTTGGGATGCGAGACTGGCAAACATCTTTTACAGTCAAACACCTGGGACATATGTTTCTGATCCTATTTCAATATCTTAAATCCTATTCCAACATCGTCAAATCCAATCTTCAATTATCCACTTCAACTCTGATTTTGGACCAGCCCCTCGGTGATTATCCCAACCTGTGCACTGATCAACGCCCTGCTATCGCCTCCATGGCGCAGGTTCTATGAAGGGTTTGGCCTCAAGGCGGCCAAGGCAGGACAGGGAATACCTGTGTGATGGGGAATGGTATCAACCACTGATATCAACCTGGGAGGCAAAAGCGGTATGAAGCCATGCCGCGATGTGAGAGTGCTGAGATCTACCTTCGCAACATGTTCGAGCTTAAACAGATTGTGTAAATAAAGGAACCATTTCTTCCCACTATAAGGGTCTTTTTCTTGCTCATGCTATTGTGATGAGGTATGATTGGATCCGGTCGTTCTTCTGTGGCAGAAGTCTGTGATATTAGTCGTGCAAATGTTGCTGACGGTGCCACCTCAGAAGCGTTGGCGGCTCTAAAATCTTTGGGGGCCAGTGGAAAGCATTCGAACAACCAAGAGCGTGATTTGCACCGTTGGCTTGGAGGGTTGCACGGTTGCCGACTCGAAGCCTTTAAGGTCCCTTTCCTTCTTTGTGTTTCTTGATTGCAGGAACTGTCGGACACGTCAACCTTCTTCCAACGGCCAGTGTGCCCTCTTGTTGGCGATCTCAGGTTCCCGGCAAGGAAGCTCTTTCAGAGGTCCAAGTGCCCATCCTGTTGCCGCATGAGATCATAGATGCTTTGTGGCAAGCGGGTCCCTTTCAGGCCTCTCTATGTTATGGTTTTGTTCGTGAATGACAAACTATTCAACTGTTCGATCGGTGTCCCTTTCAGGCCTCTCTGTGTTATGGATGGTTTTGTTTGTGAATAACAAATAACAAACTATTGGATTGGCGCTCACCTTGCAGTTTCAACGATCCATGACTGGAGCTAAAGATCACAAGTCCATTGAAGCTTTCTGGGAGCACTGTGCAACACTGGAAGAGTGGCGTGACCACCCTTGCTTGAAGCGCCCAAGTATCACTCGATCTCGTCCCACAGCAGCGTTTTGAGGTGAACAAACAGATTTTGTTTGATTGAAATCCTAAATGTATCATAATGTATCTGTAAGAGTGTTGGATTTCAGGTCTCCTTCCTATAGTGTTGCACGTGGACGGTGCAGAGTTCTACAGCAACAGTGAGTACATGGTTTGGTCTATGGGATCTGTCTTCGCAGAAGGGCATGTTTGGGATATCAAGTTTCCTTGCGTGTGCATACCACATGCCCTCATGCACAATGTGAAAGAAAAGGTCCACGAGCGAGTGGCCGATGTCCTTGCCTGGTCGCTCCGTGCTGCGGCTGCAGGACAATGGCCATCTCGCGGGCCTTTCGGCGACGAACTCTCTGGCTTCAGAGGAGAACTTGCTGGGACTGTGATGTCAGGGGGCTGGCATGCGTGCTATTTTGGATATAGATACGATGCAAAGGCAAGGAAGGAAACCAACAGTTTCACACGCTCTTACCAACATAATTTCGTGTGCGAAGGGTGCCTAGCTTCAAAGATTGGAAAGAACTGCGATCCCCTTCTCAGCTACAAAAAATTCTACTCCGACGCGGCCTACCGAATGACAACAATCAGAAACGACCTCAGTTTTTTATGTCCAACATTTGAAGCATGCACGAATGAGTGTTGAAAGAAGTGTGCGTACACATACCTCTTGCTCTCGTGCAAATCAGGCGATCGAGACTATCGTTTGGAAAGGACTATTTCACCGTGGGCGAGGGTAGAGGGTTGGCATTTGTCAACGTGCTTTCATGACCCCATGCACGTCCTTTATTTGGGAACGTGCCGCGACCTCTATGCTAGTGCTATGGCCTATTGGATTAGGCAGGGGTTTATTTGCAGTGGACCAGCTTCCTTAGCGGCAAAGCTCCAAGTTTTCTCCCGTGACCTCAAAACCCAATGCCGTGAGCAAAAGCTTCTTTCAGCAGAGTTGCAGCAATTGTTTTTATGAGTGTTTGTTTCTTCTAGTTTCAACAAGTGCTTAAATTTAAGGGGTCGTCGCAACTTGCACTGCTAAGGATCAGGGTTTCCTGGAAGGCCTTTACTCCATCAAATACAGGGCTCGACAAGGCTTCAGAGTACCCCGAGTTGGGTTCAGCGTTCAAGGCAGCGTTCATTAAAGCGTCAGCTTGGTATTTTGCAAAAACTGCTGTTGAACTAGCTGAGAAAAACCCAGCGGACACTTGAACGATCTTGAACGTAAGAAGTTCCTTTTCTGTTTGTGCAGGTGCTTCTTGAAGGGGTGGTGTCTTTGTGGGTTCTTCCCAGAATCACTCCTAGGATGAATTTCTGAGACTTGTGGCAGTATGCCTTTGGAATTCCCAATGCGCCCTCTACATCATGGACCACAGTGAGCTCATGTTGGAAGAGCAAGATGCTCTTGAATCTGGAACCAAGCCAATGTATGCGTTTGGAATGTATGCAGTTTTATTTATATAGTCGAAGCAGCAACTGCATGTGCGTGCACGCGCCCTACCGATCGTGGACCGTTGCAGGAGATCAGTGGGTGCTGGCAGACGCACCTGATTTCTTGGCAACACTTGGCGCACCAGTGCGAAGTGAAGGGTTGGAAACTTTTCAGGCTCCGACCCAAGCATCACCAACTCGATCATTTAGCGATCCAGGTTGCCCGAACAAAGCTGAACCCGAGGAAAGTCATGGCATGTTTCAGCGATGAAAGTTTTCTAGGTTACCTTAAAAGAATAGGGGTCAGGTGCCATGTTTCCAACATGATGGACCGTTTGTTCCAACGGTACATCATGTTCCTTAGCCTTCGTTGGCACGACGCGAAGACGCTTTGACGGGGTGGAGGCGTCGAAAAAAAAATGTGGCGGCCTCCACGCGGCCCATGCGGCCCACGCGGCGGCCGGACAGCGTGCTGGAGATGTGTGTGTGTGTGCCCTCATCATTGTTCCTTATTGTGTGTGTGTCCATTCCTCTCCACCCATACGTGTATGAGTGTGCATACTTATAGATATATATATATAAACTCAAAAAAATGAACTGAGTTCTTTGTGTTTCTTGAGCACAAGAAGGTGTGGCGAGAACCGGCCCAAGTGAATCCAAAACGGCTCAAGCAAAGAGTGGTTTGGGGTTGTGTCTGTCAACTGCACAGTGACTAGCATGGTTCACGCAGCCATGGTTGAGGCCACTCATGACTTTGGTAGCGGAGGTGCAATTATTAGTTCGCATCGTTTCTCCTAAACCTACCTCCAAAGTTCCAACAAAAAATCTATCATCAGAAAGTCCAATGTGTATCCTTGAAGCGCAACATGTTTACACCGCTGTAATTACATGTCTACATGTTGCGCCAGCTTGAAACGGAATATGTTTGCTGAGAAACGAAAGCTTTCGTGACGTCCAAAGACTTCTCGTTGGAACCGCAAGCGTGTGTACAAAAACGACAATCTTTTATAGCTCCTTTCAAAATGTCTATGGTGCACCTAAAGGTAACAACTTGTGTTTTTTGTGTTTGTTTGCGCCAGCTTGAAACGGAATATGTTTGCTGACAAACGAAATCTTTCGTGACGTCCAAAGACTTCTCGTTGGAACCGCAAGCGTGTGTATAAAAACGACAATCTTTTATAGCTCCTTTCAAAATGTCCATGGTGCATCTAAGGTAACAACTTTTGTTTTTTGTGTTTGTTTGCGTCAGCTTGAAACGGAATATGTTTGCTGAGAAACGAAACCTTTCGTGACGTCCAAAGACTTCTCGTTGGAACCGCAAGCGTCTGTACAAAAACGACAATCTTTTTTAGCTCCTTTCAAAATGTCTATGGTGCACCTATAGGTAACAACTTTTGTTTTTTGTGTTTGTTTGCGCAACCTTGAAACGGAATATGTTTGCTGAGAAACGAAATCTCTCGCGACACCCATGACATCGTTCGCTGGAACCGCAAACGTTGCTCGCAAACGACATGTTCTGCTGTCTGCGCTCGTGCTTTGCCTGCCGTGTGTGCTGCTGTTCACTCCCACCGAAGCTGTTAGATACCAACGAAAGCTGTATCAAGAAAAAGCTTCCGTATGTAGCCAACACTGTCCTTTGAACAGCGTTGGATCCTAACGGTGGTGTACTTTGTACGGAGAGTCTTTACCCCGAGGCTCCTCCTGATCGTGCGCTGCAGCCGAGTGTGCTGGCAGCCGTCGAAGCGATCCTACAAGATGTCAGCTTCAGGATTTTGGACCGGGCCACTCTTTATCTCATTGGCAGCCCGGATTGAGGGTTCCATGCCAGCTATCCTGTTGCGCGCGCTCTTTAACGACAGCTCCGCCATGCAGACCTTTTTAGATTTGTGGCAGTGCCACTTTGGGGGCTGGCCTTGCGCCGATGCCTTCCTGCTCCACGCGGAGGCTGTGGAGGACCTCGCGCGATCTTGCTGGACAGCCGAGTCCTCATGGGGCTTCGCCGCGGGGGCTTCGCCGCGCGGTCTTTGCCGCAGTGCCATCGGAACCGGCAAGGTGATGTTTCGAGTTGGGCGTGCGGTACCTGCAAGAAGTGGCCGATCGCTGGCAGGCATCTGTGGCAGAGCCGGCTGGCCTGCCTTGGCAACAACCCAGCAGTACCAACGCTGCCACGCTGCAGCGGTTGCGGACGATACTGGATGTCAAATCGCCCGATCATTTGTTTTGCATGGTCGTTGCCCGGGATCTGGGCTGTGTCGCCAGAGGCACCTTCGACCCGCAAACCGCTTTGGGCATGGGGCCCAATGCAGTGGAGGGGCTCAACGTGAAGTGTCAGTGGCTCCATGACGTTGCACGCCCGGCACAGTGCGGCGGGCAAAGCTATGTTGTCGCTTCTGGCGCTGCGCTTTGCGCCTGTCCTTCGCGTCCTACCACCCATTGGCCTCCAATCCTTCGCGCGCCAACTGTGCGACCACCAGCAGCAAACGGCCCGGTCCTCCTTAATACCGCGTACCAACCCCAGAGATGACGGTGAGCTGGTGGCTTTCGCCCGGGCTGCCTATCTTCGCCTAGGACTACGCGCTCTCACCTCCAGCTTGAAGCCGCTGCCGCCTTGTCTGAACGATGAGGAACTGCTGCGCATGTTGCGGACAAGTTTCCCGCTTGAGGGCCACGCTGGTTCTTGGTCCGCGGCGTTCGTGCAGCGGCTGCTGGAGCAGCATGCCCGAGTGCCGAAGCGGCCCCGTGTCGCTTGAGAGAAATAATGGCCCTGGGGCTGCGGGTTGTTGCACCGTGCCTTCTGTCGATCCGACGAAGCGGGGCCCTGCGGTCTGGCGTGGGGTCAGTTATTAATGTCCCTTGGACAAAATCACTGGACGGCGGTGTAAGTAGCAATGCGCACGGTTTCTGCAGGTGGGCACTGCCTTTGGGACTGTGGCCAGGTGTAGCGTCCTCACAATCAAGGTCCCACCCAGCCCCATTGTACCTCACTCCCCAAACTCCTGCTGATGCTCTGCAACAGCATCTATTGGGGTATGGATGTTGTCGTGGTCGTGTGCCCCTTCCGGGCTCCACAAGTCAACCTCGTGACTACACTCGGTACCACCCTGGAAACCACCACTGAATTCCACTCCTGGGAACTGTAACGGCCTGGGCGTCAAGGTCTCCAGTCCTGCCACGCCCTGGCCCTGCCACGCGCGCGCCGTGTGCGGCGTTCTGTTGGGAGTGCTGGGGTGAGGCAACCCAGGTGCAGCGCCCCCGCGCAAACGAAAGAGAGCTCGTCAGTTTTTCTGCAGATTATGCATTGTCCTATATCATCCTGGTCTGTAGGAATCTGACCTTCTACAGTGAAACGACTCGGGGGTTCACTCTTCATTGTCCCCCGAGCCCCCACCACGCGGAGTGCACAAAGAAACGTGTGGGTAATCCAACGCCCGACCAGGTTTTTAGTCTAGTTCTCCTTTTACAGGAGGTCTTGGCGAGGTTTCTCTATTTTACTCACCCACCACATTTCCACAAACAATGCGTCCTCCACATCGTCTCATCCTTTCAGCGTTGGAGATCACCCCTGGCCCCAGGACATGCGGATCCTTGGCATCCCAAGTTTCTCTTCTGTTTCTGTTTTTTGATTTGCAGCACTGGCACTCCATGCGAGGCTTCATTCAAACACCGATAGGTCATCGCGAGTGCAACCATAGCCATTCATGGGATCGAACACAATCAGGTTCTTTGCGGGAAACCCTCAAAGACTCACATCAACCTCCCGGGCTTTGGGTGGGGCTGCGGCCTCGCTGGTCCCCCCAACAAGGGACGGCGTGAGGCGGACTTGCCAGCAGCTGCTTGGGTTCTGCATTGCCTTTTGGCCGTGGTCTTTGCTGCTTTAGTGGCAGGCACGGTGTTGTATCAGAGAAGGTGGGCATCGGCCATCCCAGAGTCGTTCACATGCAGCGTTCCAAGGTCTTTCGGACGTAGGGGTTTGTTATGCCGTGCTCACCATGGAGGTAGCATGAACCGGGCGTCTGGATGGCCCTTTCACAGCTGTGACCCTGGTTGTGGCTCCGCGCGAACGCGAGGAGCAACAGCTCTTGATGCGCAGGGCTGGCATTCGTCAAGACCACCTGGCCAGGGTGAGGCATGCGACCGCACAGGCTCAACGCAGCAACAAGCCCGCCTGCCAGCGGTTCGCGACGCTGAACAGCTGCTCGGCCGCTTCGGTGTCAATCCCAGCCAGCTGCGGGTAGTCCGCCGGGTTGGCGCCCGCCGCATACCAACCACTTGCAGGATCTTGGCGCGCCTTGTGGTACTGCAGGTGCAACCGATCAATGACCCAAAGGAGTGCCCGCAAGCGGTGCCATGGGGGACACAGCACCGCCCGCTTGCGGATCATCCGGGCCACAGCACACGCGTTGTCATAGATGACGTACTGCAATGCCTTGGGTGACACGCGCATTTATGTACGAACCGGGGCGCAGCCCCGAGACAGCCAGCAGGAGGCAACCAAGCCTCGACGAAGATCGCGCACAGATCCCAAATCAACAGAAGCACCTGTGTGCAGGACTCCGTGGAGTGCATGGACTTAATGGCCACAATCCTGACCAGAGAAAGATTCCAAATTCAAAGAACCTGTTGCGGAGGCGCAACCACGCCGTGCAGCAAAGTGTCTGAAGGCAGGGGGTAACCCCGATCAGAATACCTGCAGTACGGCGGCCGCAGGAAGGCTCATCCAAGTCCTTCCGACGCCGTGGGGTTGGGTGTTTGTGTGTTGGTCGCGGGGGCATCGTTGGATCTGAAGCAGTGACAGTTAAGCTCCAAATTGAAGTGAAAGAAAACATCATCAGATACTTCATGGTATTGGTCTAGGAGGTATTTCTCATGATTTAGTCTCTAGTCTCGCCAGGGATCGCCGATCACTGAACAACCGGATTCGTGTCCCGCAGCCATTCCCGTCGACGGACGAATTCGTCCTCTCGTCCCCTGCAGGACGAAAGCTCTCTGTAGCTCTTCTGGGGTTCAATTCTGCATGCCTGTACGTTTCGTTTCTTTCCAGCCCAGGGCATTCTTGGACCAGCAAGGGTCCACGCAGGGAGAAGGACGCATGAGGACGCACCACCGCGGCTCCCGGTCCGCAAAGTGGATCAAGGTGGGCGAACCTTGCGCGGACGCATCTCCTACTTCTGCCGCGCGTCCGCGTCACCACCCCGGACACCTGCATCTTTGGGTAGTGAGTGGGTTAGACGCTGACGGTGCGTCACCACCGGCTGTGGGCGATATTTGGGCTGTTTGCGCACAAAAGTTTCTGCGCCTCAGCATCCGCCGCTGTGGACCCCAAGTCTTGCAAGCTTGTTGGCAGGCCCTGGCCCTCTGCAAATGTGTTGCAGAATTTCGAGATCCCTCAGCCCGG